GCCAGCAGAAGTTAGACGAGCGACAGCCTCAAGTACAACTCGTAGGGAAGTCCATCTATTCCCGGGGTTTTGTCCCGGTCGGCCAGCTTAAGCGCTTTCCAGACTTCTTTCTTCGTGATGGCCCCCTCACACATATTCGCTTCGACCATCTCGAGACGAGGAAAGTCGGCCAGATAGGTATTGAACTGCGCAGAACTCAGTCCGGGTTCCCTGGTGAAGAGGTCCCGGAATTAAGACCGGAAGGCCTCGCAGATGCCTTCGTTTGTAGTCGCTTGTCGTTCGTTCGGTGATATGACATTAGGGAAATATCGATCCGAAGCGCTGCGCAACTACTCTTGCCGCAGTTCAGCGGCCATGTTCGTCGCCTTGGCGGACATTCTCTTTAGCCTAGCCCTAACTACCAGACCTTGGTCCTTCTTGATAAGCGAGGAGGCCAGCTCGGCACTAGCTACTGAAACCTCCACACTATCTCCCGATTGGATGGCACCCTCTAATCTGGCTTCGGCTGCCGTTTGCGCTGCTAATCTATCTTGATTGAGCCGACGGCTATAATCAGCTGCAAGCGACCTAATGACAGGCTTGAGATGTTCCCACCACTTATTCCCAACCACACTCCCCGCCATTTCCCTCTCTATGTTTAGTAATAACTGGTCTTTCAACTCGAGCAGAGACGTGTTGAACTTCCATTAACCAGTCAACCTAGGCTTAGGCTTATCTAAGTTTACTCGCACCCGGACGAGCCTGTAATCTGAGAAAACTCTCGAAACTTGGACACCCTACGAGCCCTACGTCGACTCTCCTTACTAAAACCCGGTCGATATAGCTTGTACGAACTACCGTATCCGGGCCGCCCCTATTGGTCCTTGTCTATGCTGCTGCCCCAGGATGCTCATTTCTGAACTTATCGACTAAATCAAATCTGTCGATAAAGTCGCGAAATGGTTTGACATCTGGGTTGTAAGTATCTGATCTTACCCCGCTACGATCTAAATCGGGATCAAGGACGGCGTTCCAATCACCCGCTAAAACTACCTGGTGAGACGTCGTCAAAAACGGCTCGATCCGCCGAAAAAAAGCAGCCCACTCCGCCTGGTCGTTGGGCGCATAAACTCCGATGAAGCGAAGAGACTTTCCTTTTATGACGACAGGACACAAAGCATGCCCTCCGGATCCGCGTAGACAAGGTTACACGACGCCGTCAAGGACTTGCTGACTAGCCAAGAGATCCCTCTGCAGCGGGTATCAAAATGCGCTGAGTAGAGGTGGAACCTCTTCGACAGAATATCCTCAAAGTCGCTGGCAATAAGATGGGACTCTTGCACACAACACACATTCACGACGAAGCGCTGGAGATCACGTGAGATTTTCGCTCTACGAGACTCCGATCTCAGGCCTCGACCATTCACAGTCGCTAACCAAAGAGTCATTGAAAGATACTTACCTTAGGGTTGAGCCTCACCCCGAAACATAGTCTGGGTGAGGATGCCGACTGCTTCTCCCATAGATCCGGTGCTCATCTCAGTTTTGATGGAACCGCTGACATCCCAAGGAAAGGCTAATTTTAAGGCCCTATAGAGGGATGGATGTACAAAAACCGGGACCCTCCCAGCACAGAAGTTTTAATTTGGAAAGTTCCTCATTGTCCGTTATCATGATGGGTGTGGCAGATCTTATCAGCGCAAGATTCGCTATAAGATCCACTCCAAGGTAATCTCACACTTAAGGACACTTAAGTGGACCAAATGTTTTAATACCATTAAACTTAGAAATGTTAAGTCTAATGTGTGTTTTGGCCATGATAGGTCCCAAAGGACTACCCATCGCTATCCCATCAATCTGTTGATGCATGTTAGTATGCTCACCAATCTTGCCCAGCAATCAAGACAGTTTTAAATGTCGGTGTCAGTCAGACTATTTGGGTAAGACTATCCAACGGGTGGAGGAACGTATTCAGCAGCACATGTCTGGCTTTGTACATGCACATGCGTCAGTAGCATCCGGTCACTCACAGGCTCATGGGTCTGCCATCGGGGATTTCTGTAACTTGTGGGTTCAATTAACCAGCGGAGTTCCCTGTATTGCACAAGGCTCGGTCGAAACACCATTTTAACATATTGGAAACGGTTCTTATCAACACATCTCGTTCGATGGACTCTAGGCAGAGGGAGTTGAAACATGAACTTGGACACTTCGGTGAGTGTTTGTCTTGTTCAGAGAAACTTCAATGTTTTTCCCTTCTCCTCCTCGTTGTGTCTTTTAATTATATTGCAAGGTTTGTTTCCTTTCAATAGTTTTTTTAAGAATTCCGACGATTTTCCTTGT